CACTCCTGGCCACCGCAGCCTTGACCTGCTGGGCTCCGACGATCCTTCCGCCTCAGCCTTCTGAGTAGCCGAAACTACCACACCCGCGCTACCACGCCCGGGTAATTTTTTTGGCTTATTGTAGAGATGAGGTCTCCCCAAGTTGCCTGGGCTGGTCTCAAACCCACAGGCTCAGGCCATCCACTCGCCTCGGCCTCCCAAAGTGCTGGGAATCCAGGCTGAGCTACTGAGCCCGGCCGAGTGCTTTCAGCGACAATTTTGACTGCAATTTTCACCTGGAGTGTTGGATTTAGAAACTGCCCCTGCCTCAGAGACGGTAACTTGAGCGTATCTGTCTAAGGCTAGACTTCCGGAAAACTCTGTTCAGAATCTTCCCCTGGGGATCTTGGTGGAGAATGAGTCTCCCTCTGGGTACTACCTGCAGTCTGGGCCCTCCCACCCCTTTAACCTGTCCCCTGTTGATCTCACGCCAGTTTGGAAGGAGCTAGCTGCAGCACCTCTAGCTTTGGTGACCCAGGTGTTCAGAGGATCAGCTGAGGCAGGGAACGGGCCCAGGGTGGTCATGGGGGGCCCTGAGCCCCCCTCCACCTCTTCATTCTCAGCAGCTCTCCTCTCATTTGCTGTCTGCATTTGCACAAAAGGGTTTGTGGCTAAAAAGAAGTTTGAAAACCACCCCCAGTTTTGCTGTCATGATCCAGGTGTAGATGAGATCGTCTGTGGGCCTCCAGATCAGCTGTTCCAAACGTGGCTTGTAAACTGAGGTAGACGGTTCCGCATCTTAACGTCCTTAGGAAATCACTCCAACCCATCCCAATTTCTTCTGGCCCCTTAATGTACATTTGTGAGGGTTTATCTTAGGGGTACAGCAGGAAGTAACACTATTCAAAGCTAGAGTTCTTCAGGCTGCAGGGCTTTTGTTTTTTCCTTCTCTTCTTCTTCTTTACTTTTAAATGACTAAGACTGGTCCTAAAAACACCAACAGAAAACTCATGACCCCAGGCTACTTGGAATAGAGTCCTTGCAACTTTATTTTCCGTTTGTCTCTGTTATAGGAAATTTGGTCTCACTTGCCTGAAAATAAGTGGTTTCACGATCTGCTGTTGTTTCCAGGTTTTACAGATGAGCCGAAAATCCGGTTTTGGTGTCCTCCTACAAAAAGACATTAATCAGTAATGAGCAAGATGCGGAAAAGCGGGAAGGGACACTTTCAACCACGGACATTCGGCTGGCTGCTGATGCTGTCTGCTTGTCACTGCTGCGAGTCCTCTCTGTGGCCGCAAGGAACAACCTGTCAGTGGGTCATCAGACTCCAGACAGATGTCATCACAGAACGTGCTGGAGGATTAAGAAATGCCGCCCTGCAACACTTCCGGCTCCCGCCCCCTCCCAGATCTGGACTTTTGGTGGTGGCCGTTTGGCCACCGTCTTGGCAAGTTGCTTTGCCCCGGTAGGGCCACGACACGGGGTCCTGGGTCTTCTGTGGGATGATGCTGGGATGGCCGCCCCATGGTCTTCCCAGGCTGGGGCCGCCTGCCTTCCCCGCCAAGAGGCCTGAGCCAGGGTGGGAGTGAAGCTCCCAGTAACTGAGTCAGCCTTGCATGGAGCTGGGAATGTGTGGGCTTGACAGGAGTTCACTTCTCTCCCCTCAGAAAGTTCCTCGGCTTACACTTCTGCTTTCCTGTGTTTCACGTGGCTCTTCCTTCTGTTCCTTTTATGAAAATGCCTTGGTTTAAAATAAAAGTCCTGGGTTAAAGATACACATGGCTGCCGTGACATAAAAGTGCAAGTTCATCTGCAGAAAAGCTATCGGTGCTCCGTGAAGGAAGGCCACGGTGCAGCCATACGTCCTCGCTTTGCACCCGAGTTCCTGGCGTGCCTCTTGTGGTCCAGCCTGTGGCGTGGGTGCAGGGCAGCCCGGAGAGGCTGGAAGGCCCAGGGCAGCCTCAGCCCGGCCACTGGTGCGACAGGGCCATCTCCTCCTGACCCTCTTCCCAGTGCCCCCACTAACACTTGTTCACTTCCACTGAGGACTGAACCCCAGGGACCCTGGCCTCAAGTCAGGCGTGCGCCAAAGAGTAGGGGAGAGGCGTCAGGGGCTCTGTCACTGCCCATTCTTTTTTTGTTGTTTGTTTTAATTGTCCTTCGGCCTTGACAGTTAGCAAAGAATGCAAGGAGAAAGCACTGGGCTGTAGTAGGGAGTGGACAGGAGGCCTCGTGCCTTTTGGGAAAGTCCCTGGGTCTCATCTGAACCACCCCCTCCCAGGCTCTAGCAGCATACGAACTGTTGAGCCCAAAAAAGTCTGCCTCAACAGAAGCACCTCATCCGGGTCAAAGGAGGATTCGGCCCCACCCGCTTTTCCCGGCCAGCTCAAGAAAGGGCGTTGGCACACCAGGTCGTGCTCAGAGGCCACCAGCAGCCACAGAATGTGAAAAGCATTACAGAAAACAGGAAAGACGGCTTGAGGGGAGGAGCAGTGTGGCCATCTCATGGCGTCTGGGAAGATGCCACATCCAGCGAGGTGTGGCGGTGGGCATTCAGGAGTGAGGGGTGCTCAGGAGAGCCGAGACCAGGGCCAGGCCGCCTCCTGGGGCCAAGGGGCTGGGTGTGAAGGGTGTGCATGGTCAGCAGCCAGACTCCTCTAGGGTTGTCTCCAAGGGGGCTCCTTGTCCAGCCACCCCCTGTGAAGGATGAGAGACTGCAGGTGCGTGCCCCGTCCTCAGCGGAAGAGAGAGCAGGCCTCGGGCCCCGGGTCTGGTGTCCAATGCATCTCCCCTGCTGCCTCAGCAGCTGCACTGGCATGTTTGCAGGTTCAGGGGGGCTGGGAGGATGGGGTGGTTTGCTCTGCTTTCTTGCAGCAGGCAGCCACGTGGCAGCTCGGCCCGCCGCCCAGGAGCCCAGCCCCGGCGGGCTGCGGTGGGGAGGTCTCACCCAGCACCTGGCTTTTGTTTTGAAGAAAGAACAGAGCTGTCACCAACCTTCTGAGGGGCCTGTTGTGACAAAATACCACCCCCCAAATTTAATCCGTGATCTTTTGACTAGCAGTCCCGCGTGCAGGCATTCACCTTAAAGAAACACATCACAAAGTGGCACAACTAAGAGATACGCATCCAATTGCTCTTTGGATTTGGCCCAAAATGACAAACACTCCAAATGTCCAGCAAAAGGGACCAGTCAGATAAATTCTAATGCAGCCTTATAAAGGGGGTTCATGCAGCTGTTAGGGAATGAACTAGATCTGTATATGCTGACATCAAATGAAGGCCACTACCTATGCATACGTTTTCAAACATTTGGTTATTCTTATTGTAATACAATAATGGTGTACCACGTGGGCACTGTTAAAATTCAAGCACAGATGAAAACAAGCAAAACATATTTGTTTTTAGAAAGCCCCAAATGATTTCCTTCGCATCAAGGGAACTTTAGGAGGGAACGTGGGCTGCAGGGTGGACAGGCTCTGCTTCTGAGATAGGCAGTGGGTCACATGGATGTGTTTTGTTTGAAAGACATCTTCGCACTCTGCACACACGACATGTCGACTTTAACATGTATCTGTGGGTATGAAAACGGATTCTACTTCAATAAAGAGATACTTTAAAAACCCAAGTACAGAACATTGCCAAAATGTGTAAAATTGGTATTTGAGAGTTTCTTCTTCTTTTTTTCTGCACCTATTTTTTAAAAAACATAACATTAGCCAGGCACGGTGGCTCACGCCTATAATCCCAGCAAGTTGGAAGGCAGAGGTAAGAGAATTTCCTGAGCCCATGGGTTCGAGACCAGCCTGGGCAACTTGGCGAGACCTCATCTCTACAATAAATAAAAAAATTAGCCTGGCATGGCGGCATGTGCCTGTAGTTCCAAAGACTGACGTGGAAGGATTGCCTGAGTCCAGCAGGACGAGGCTGCGGTGGCCGTGAGCGTGCCACTGTACTCCAGCCTGGGCGATGGAGTGAAACTCAGACTCAAAAAAAAAAAAAGAACATAACATTGAAATCTTATAGAACATAATAAATAGAGGGTATAGAAAATGGAATCTTAATATTGCCCTGCACATTTGGTCTTTTTTCTCTAATAATATATCAGGGCTTCTGGGTGTATTTGTACGTGTACAGGAAAAGTCTGTAAAAATGGATTCTGAGCACTATGTCCGTGGAAGTCCTCGAGGCAGCCTCTGGGGAGGAGCAGAAGGAAATGGAAGACAAAGTGATTAGTCCAGAAAAAGCTGAAGAAGCAAAATTAAAAGCAAGGTGCCCTCACTGGGGACAAAAGCCAGGAGGTTCAGATTTCTAAAGAAACGATTGCAGAGAGGGCAAAAATATTTTGATTCTGGGGATTACAACATGGCTAAAGCAAAAATGAAAACCAAGCAACTTCCTTTTGCAGCCCCAGATAAGATAGAGGTCACTGGTGACCACATTCCCCCTCCACAAGACCCTCCTCAACAAAAACCATCCCTTGCTGCTAGCAAGCTGACTGGTTGATTCAAAGAACTGAACTGCATGAATCTTTTTTGTTGTTGTTAGAGATAAGGTCTCGCCAAGTTGCCTGGGCTGGTCTTGAACCCGTGGGCTCAGGCAATTCACTCGCCTCGGCCTCCCAAAGTGCTAAGATGACAGGCTGAGCCACAGAGCCCGGCCTTGCATGAATCTTCCAATACCCAATATTCCTCCTTAGTATGTTACTTATCTACCTCTCATTTCCTTTTATTCACTAAGTCATTTGAGACTGACAGCTTTGCGGGTAGTAGCAGCATGTACTGCTATTGTAAGGGGATACATGTGTAGGGTTTTTGATTGGTTTAACAGTACACTGATGGGAAGGGCATGCTAGAGCAACATTAAGTCACCTACTTGAAAATAATTGTACATATTACCTAACTCCTAGGGTGCCACTGGTTCCAAATGTAACAAACAAGTTTCAACATTTTTTATGTTTTTCATTACTTCGCTTTAATTACAGCGTTGGATGTGACCCTTATTTAATATAACCTCTATCGTATGGATTTATCCTGTATTCTGGATTTTGTAAAACAGAAGTTTCAGACCACAGGTCAGAAGAAAGGTCATTTACATCAAACACACATGGATGGGGCTCCTGTCGATATGTGTCTTTACTTGAACCTGAATGGTCTTAAACCTGTTTTGGCTTTAACAGGAAAACTTTACTGGGGGAATATCTGCCCATTCTGGTGTAACTTATGTGACTCTAGTGCTTAGCAGCTGCCGTTGAAGCCAGTATTCTTATTGGTCCTGTAGTGTTAGAATACCTTTTGTTGCCGAAGATGTGAATGAAGTATGCATGTGCATCGACTGTTGAATTCACTCTTGTGCCATTTTTGTAAATACAATAGTTTTGTGCAACCTCTCAAAAAAAATAAGATTGACTCCAAGCTGCTATGGCAGTTTCTTTGGGGAATATCCACTTCTGCGTTGTATAGTTCTGCATTGTGTGAGTTTGTTTTTTTGTTTTTAATCATGCATTACAGCCGGGCTCAGCCTGTAATCCCGCGCTTTGGGAGGCTGAGGTGAGTGGATTGCCTGAGCCCGCGGGTTCGAGACCCGCCTGGGCAACTTGGTGAGACTTCATCTCTACAATAAATCAAAAAATTAGCTGGGTGTGGTAGCGCATGCCTGTAGTTCCAGCTACTTGGAAGGCTGAGGCAGAAGGCTCACCGGAGCCCAGCAAGTCGAGGCTGCGGTGGCCGGGAGCGGCCACTGCACTCCAGTCTGGGCGACAGAGTGAGACTCCAACTCAAAAAAAAAAAAAAAAATCATGCATTACTTTTGTAGTTGGGAGAAAACAAAAAGAAAACAAAAGTTTGAAAAAAAAGAACCTCTGGTCATTGTTATAGTAAAAAGTTGAAATCAATAAAAATGTCCATCAATGAAAGATCTTTTCATAAATAAAGATTTTTAAAAATCGTACCACGGACACCATGGTGGGGCACAGCGGAGGTGGCTGCACCCGTGTGGCCCAAGTATCTAGCAGCTGTGCAACACTGAGTGGGTCACGCTGGTTCTGTGGGCCGGCTGTCTCTGCTGAGATGGGAGCATCTCCTGGAGTGCTTGTCAGCGGACAAGCTGGGGGTGCTGGCCTCCTCCCAGCCCCTCAGCGGGAAGCAGCCTACAGGTGTGGTGCCCACAGGGGCCTGTTCAAAGGCAGAAGGGGG